TAAGCTGACAATGCGATTGATCTTCTCTACCAAGGTGATGTGTCAGCTCTCATGACTCTTGGTGCATTTTACAAGAAAGGCACAGGAGTTGAGAAAGACTTTGAAAAATCATTCAATTGTTATAAGGCAGCAGCTGACCAAGGTACTCAATGCTGACTTGTAATTTTACATATGATCGGCAGGAGAAACAGTAAAGTTGTTTGCATTGTTTGGTATATCCTAGCAAAGGTGCTGTCTGTCTGTCTGTCTGTGTCTCGGTCTGTCAGTCTGTCAGTCACTCAGTTGGTCAGTCAGTCTATCAGTCAGTGGGTCAGGTAATCAGTAGGTCAGTATGTCAGTCACTCTGTAGGTCAGTCAGTCAGTCAGTCAGTCAGTAGGTCAGTCTGTCAACCAGTCAGCCAGTCAGTCCATCTGTCTGTCTGTCTGTCTGTTTGTCTGTCGGTCAATCAGTCAGTCCATCCGTCCATCCCACTATAAATCATTCAATGACTTTATTTATGTCCAGAAAATCTGTGTTGGTGGAGCGCCCGTATGCTTAGTCTGTGTGGTAGGTGTTCAAAGGGGAGGGAGAGGAGAAAACTATTTCTAGTTTCCCCTTTGAACACCTGTAACGTAGGCTACCGTATTTTTGTTTTGTATTTTTGAGTATTTGGTTGACCTTTTCTCATTAGGTTACCTAACAGCTCAGTATAATGTTGGAGTAAACTACTTTGCTGGCATGGGTGTCACGCATGACTTCAAAAAAGCAGCTTATTATTTTGATATCGCTGCTCGCAGAGGACACCTGCTGGCCAAGGTTTGATATTTATCAACTATTGCCCTAGTGTGCTTCACAGCAAGCCGTCTTTAAGGTTCTCAAGCAATGCTTCACGCAGCCTACGAGCAGGCTTTTGTGTTTGGGGCTGGGGCGCGAGCGGCAAAGCCGTGAGATACAGTTTCTAAGCTCCTACGTTGTTCCCACATTGCTGTTGAACTCGCTCACATGCTAAAGCAAAAACAAAAGCAGTGCTTGAGTGTGAAACCCAGACACTAGACCTTCCCTCACAATCCCAGACAAAGGTAGTTAGGACACTTCTACATCTACGTAAGGGGAGGTCCTGCAAAGGGATATACCCATCACTGCAAGACTGGATCACCCACATATCCCCCATCCCCCACCCCATTCAAGGTTTGAAATGTTTTGTTTTGTTTTGTTTTGTTTTGTTTTTTGTTTTCACCTTAAAGGGGAAAAATAACCGATTTTCAACATTGTAACTGGGGGGAGGGGGACAACTTGCTTAGTGTCCCGACATGCCAGAGGAATGTAAAGAATGTCACATTACATCCTGTAGCACAGGCTGGACAAAATTAAAAGGGAGCTGTACTGTCCTGAGGATACAGCTAACGAACATAGCAAAAGAGAAACCAACAAAATGGGTTGAAATCCTCCAGTTGCAGCACCAGTAAAAATTCAATATCTAGTCCGATTTCCTTTATTTCATATTTGTACGTGTATATCATGTAAATGTACATTCATTGATCTGATTGCATTAACGTTAAAGGTTTCCTTCGCTCTGAGTACATCGTGTTTACTGTCTTTACTGCTCTTCGTTGGAATTGCTAAAAGGACTCTTTTGTTATGTTCTGCGACAGAGTCTGTTCTTCCAGTTTGTTGGAGACGAGATAGAGAGTCGGGAAGCGAAGCGAGCTGTTGCGGGATTTTCGCCAGCTCGCATCGCTCGACGACTTTTCCTTCTCTCGTGCCGAAGCGCACGAGAGCCGGCTTGCAGGCTGAGGCAATATAGGTGTAAGGCTGGCCTTTCGCCTTCGTGGTGGTAATTTCAACAGACCGATTGAGGCGACAAGCGTAGCGTCGTTTTGCGAAGGGTCACGGTCGTGACCCAAATGAATTCTTCTGTCTGCTGTCTGAAACACAGGAGTATAAGTTTCTGTCTATATGAATTTGAAACGTACGCTCCAGGCATTTTCATTGTACGGCTCACAAATAACCATACCTTTGCCGTAACTGCTGGCCACCATGTGTTTTAACACTCTGCCGCCAGTTCCTTGTTCTTGTCCCTTGGATGTGCAACCCAACCTGCAAGTCTCCCTGATATCTTCCTCCATCTTTATCACGCGAGCTTGCTCACAGGGATTTGTTTTGCGGGCAAATCCAGTTCCGTCCAAAAGGAAAGGTAAATGCTCAGTCCAAAAGTTCTCAGGTAAATGTTTCTTGCACGATTTGGCCTCATCATGGTCGATTCCTAATCGTTTCACGATACTCGCAGCGGAAAAGTTCCCTTCTTCGGTTCTTAGCGTTGAAACCCTCCTGAGAATTAAACTATTCTGTGTGTCTGTCAGCTTGCTTGAACGTCTTTTAACTGTAACATCAAAATCGTTTCTTCCCTTAAAGGCCATTGTGTTTGAGGCAAATTTCGTTTTGCTACAGTCACCGGTTACGATGTATTTATAATCCGCTAATATCACAAGCCTTATTCTAGAGTTCTGTCCAATTTCAAGAAACAAAGTGTACGTTATTGACACGTAATCGAATTCTAAAATACTGTGACGTTATCGCTCGTGCTTATCGCTGGCGTCCATCTTTTCAGAAAAATTCCTCCTGTGACCAGAATCTTGGCGAGAGTCTTTGCATATCTACCTTCTTTCATGTCTCAGATTCTGGACTTTATCTATTGAACGGTTTTGATTTATATTTTGATCTATTTTGAATTGCGTGACACTGAAAACCAGCAATATCTCATTTAAACAATCCCAGAGAAAACGGTAATACTCTCCCTCCCCACCCCCACCTCCCAATTTCTTTCCTAATTAATGTTGGGAATGTCGCGGGGTTTTTTTTGTTTGTTTGTTTGTTTGTTTTTCAACTAAAAGGGGGAAAAAATAACCGATTTTCAACATTGTAAGTAAGGGGAGGGGGTCAACTTCCTTGGTGTCCCATTTTTGTCTGGGATTGCAATCAGGCGATGAACGAATTGAGGCGCGTGTAACTGGGGGGGGGAAGGGCGGAATGGGTTTTGTTGTCTCGTATAACGATTAGGAAGTAGACTAAGAAAATTTGTCCCATTCAGTTGAACCGGTCAACATCCAATTTCTCCTTACAATCTCTATACATTATACATTACTATGGAGAAAGGTGAGGAGAATAAAGAAAATATGTAAACAATAGCCTCCATTTGGAGCGAGAGTATGCTCGGATATTTGTCCGCGGACATTATTAGCCAGTGAACAGGCTCCGGCTGAATGGGTGGAGAGTGAAGTGGCCGTGGAGGAGTTGTCCATCCTCGAGTAGAGAACCTGTTCACAGCCTAGAAGCTCACAGTTTTCCTCGAGCTTCGCTCTCGGAAAAATGTTTGCTTCTCGGAACAGATAATATCCAAGGACAAATATCCGAGCACATTTTTGAACTCAAATGGGGACTATTGCTTCTATTATCCTTCAAATATTTTTCAAATTGGAGAATATCACCCGGATATTGCTCAGTTTTTGCTGCGGCATATTCAGCCACGTGACACGTTTAGACGCAGCACTTCGTTGTCTTTATAAAGGAACTTTCAGAATTTACATCCTGTGGTGTCAGAGGTTTGTGTATATTGAGGATTTTACGGTAGCGAGAAAAACTTAGAAGAACATCGCAAAGCCGGTAAATGACTAAAAGCGCTAAAAAATCTGTATTGAGAACTTGATTTTCCACTGATTTCTTTTTCTTTAGATGAACCTGGGGAACATGTATTACTATGGATATGGCGTGGATAAAAACTGGGAGAAGTCGCGAGAACTTTACAGAGAGGCTGCAAAAGAGAGCAAACATGGCGAACTTTTGCTTCAAGAACTTGAGGATGAGATGAAGGATCTGAACAAAACTGACGACCCTTATTAATTTGGCAAACAAATTGGGAGCTTATGCACAATGCAAAGAATTTCTAATGTGAGAGTTATTCTGAGTCTTACGTCGCACGATACAATTGGCTGTCCACATGCGACAGCGGGTTAGAAGTTTGGGGATACGTATAGTCGAAGACCTGTTGCTGAGAGATGTTCGAGACATGTTGCTACGTTGCTCGGAGAAGAAACTTTAAGTTGATCAGGAAAAATGATTGTAATAACTGGGTTTTCGTCGCTGGCAGACGTTATGGAAGGAAGGTTGTCAGAGACAGCTTCAGTCTCAACTGCTATTAAGCGGTCAACTTTATTCAGCGGGCATTTTTTATAAGAGCAAGTGGCCACCCTTTACATGGATTTACTCGCGTATTTTATTGATTGGTTTTGGTTCGCCCTCAACGAACATTTTACACTGATGAACACGGAATTAAGCCTACGGACTGTACTTGGATTAACTGAAACTCCCTGAAACGTCCAGACTTTTTTCGTAAAGGGATCTTCTTATTACTTCTTGATTGCATGTTATGCCACAGTACAGCATGAACAACGAACAGTATTAAGCACGTGATAGGTTACACTCGTTCAAGGACACTATCCAGTTTGCACTCGTCCCAGGACTCTATCCACGTCTCTAAAACCAACGCCTCTAAAGTTTCCTTCGTACAAACTAACTGTTTTTCTTCTTTATTGCCGAGATTGTTATTTAGAAGCTTAAGCTAAGTAAACCACGACGGCAGCGGCAACGAGAATGGCGGTCACCAACGCTGTCATTACATATAAACAAGTTTTCAGACCATTAGGCATTGTGAAAAGGTCTCGATGATTGCGAAATTCGAAGGTGAAACGTAAATTCAGTTTTTACTAGACGTCTTTTTCACTGAACGCCTTCCTCGGCGGCGTCGTTGTCGTTGCTTAAGCTTAAGCTTAAAGGAGCAACTTCGCGGTTTGGGCATCTTGAAAAGTGTAGCCTAAATTTTTCAAGTTCGTCGTTTGTCATCCGTGTTAATCTTCTCCTTCGTTAACCCACCTTGTTCCTTTATGGTATATTATTATCCCTTTGGTGTTTTTCTATCTTAGTAAACTACTATTGTCAGGTTTCCTTCAATTTAAAGATAATTTTGTACGTGGCCAAAATTACCTCAAAATGCCGTGACTGAGCTACTTTGAACGACTAGTTTGCAAGAATTAAAATACAAAAAATAACTGTCAACGCGTTAAGGTAATTCCTCTGAAATAAAAGTGACAATAGATTTTTGTTCAAACTTTTTCCACTTAATATTTATCATATGATAACTTCAATTTTGAAATAAAAAAGGGTGTGCCCATGCTCGTTAAGGAGCAGTGAGGCATTGAAAATGCCCCATTTTGGCATTATTTGATGCTTATTATAACAATGCATTCCCAGTAATTGTAATATCTTTATAATAATAATAATAATAATAATAATAATAATAATAATAATAATAATAATAATAGATTTGTATAGCGCCATATCCATGGCTCATGGCGCTTTACAGTAAAAAATGTTATTAAAAATAAAATTTAYATTAAAAATTTACATCAGTGATAAAAAATTACTAACAAATAAAATAGCTAAGCTGTAAAAATGAAAGTAAAACTAGGAATCATTAAAACCTTTAAATAAAAACTGACTAAATCTTTGTGAGCACAGACTCATAAGAACACGCATTACACTACGGTCAATACATTGTGTCGGACACAAATAACCGTTTTAAGTTTGATTCAGACAGAAAACTAAATCCTTGATTAAAAATTTGAACCAAATTTCTTGACGTGGTTACTGACTGCAAAATAGAAAAAACCACCGTGTATCTGCTATTTTTCTTATTTATTCAATTTTCAGCAATAGAAATTAAATCAGTCTTTTCTCACGCAAAGCTTATGATTGGTTGTTTACAATGACTGGAAAAAAAATGGGGTGCCCGTGCTCGTTGGTGAGCTAGAGCCATTTCTCAACTCACAGAGCTCAATATCAAGGGAAATCCGCCATGTTTTCATATGCGCGTACACGAGCACGCGCTAATGATGCCATAAATTATGCGCAGTAAGGTTGCGCGATGAAAATGTGAGGAATGACCTTAAATCATAATTCTCATCACGCTGGAGGTTTCTTTTTTCTCTTCGGGGGAAGGGTGGTCTGTCGACCTCTATGTTCAGTTCTTGAAAATAATAAACTCAATCAGGAAAGCATGTAATCGTGGTTACCAGGAGGGTGAGGCATCCTAACATGTACACCTTGGAGAAGACTTAGCAAGGTCAAGGTAGAGCTGTCACGCAAAAGGTTACCATGGCAACAGTATAACCGTTAAAGCCCCTTTAATACGCGACATCAGTGAAGTTTACCAATACAACGTAATTTTAATTTGCTGCATCTGTTGATTTTCTTTTTGATTGATATACCGTTTTACCAGTGTTGAAGAGAGAAAATCGTTAGATCCATAGTCTATTAACAAATTAATGCCATGGAGTGAATTTGTTGTCGAGGAGGCATTTCCTAGACGTCACGAAGACAACCTCTGCCTAGATCCATAAAGGTAGCTTAAAATAATCTTAGCTCTGTGCATTTCAGTTTTATTGATAACTGCTAGACTACTAGATGTGATTTTCTTTCTTATTTAAGAAGGTCATTCATGAATTCTCTCCTACACAAATTCGTGTTGGCATCGTGCTCAGTCTCGCATCAGTTGTGCGTGGTTCATCGCTAACTTTGTTAAAAGCTGTCAGTCGCATTAGATATTCCGGAGGTAGTACAAGAGTTAGACGAGCACTGAGATTTGCTAAATATCAGCTGTTGAGATGAAGAAAAAATCGGGGTAAGTTAAGTGTGCATGAAGTATTTTCCGCTCTTGTACTCGGTTGTAATAGTGTAGCCAGGTTCAGGGGCGGAACAAGTGGGAGACTGCAGGGGGTGCGACCTCCCCCCCTCCGGGGGGGTATTCTGCCAAAAGAAATATGTACTTTATTGGTGTTGAAGTAAAACAGTGGTGCACCCCCTCCTAAGAAAAATCCTGGATCCGCCCCTGCATTAGCATACATAAACACACGACTTCTTTCTTTTTTCGTGGTTTATGATTCGCTGACAGAGAAAGCGTGCAAACAAATTCCGGCGTTGGATCTGTCCCGTGTTTGTCAGCGATTGGCTTGAGTTTCTAATCCATATTCATAGCAGTCATAGAGTTTTTCACATTTTAGATTGTTCGTTGATGAGTGAAGACGTGTCGTCCGGCTGCGGGCCAATTTTACTCCTGAAGGAAGAAGATGTATGCTGGCAGGACCTAACGCGTGGAAAGAAGTTTTCACATTATTCCAACCAAAGGTAAGCATTGCTTTTGGAAAACATTCCGAAAATTTGGTTCAGAAAGTCGCACAACTTCCCAAACTGTTAACCAAGCGAGTGAACACGTGCACTCGCTGTTCGCTTTAAAGGTCGCTTCATCTTGAAACAGGACAGCAAAGCGGTATCTTAAATTCTGTATTTTATTCGCAAAATTTCAAGTAAGGCAAATCAGGAAAAAATGCGCGCTGAACAAAACTGCGATAGCCATTTGGTTTAATTTTCTAAAGATCCATTGTTATTTTTTTTGACGTAACAGTTTGTAATTGCTTTGCCAAATTTTCTTTTCTTTTGTTTAGTTTCTTTGCTGACTTTTGGAATGGTCGTTATTGTACATAATTGAACTGTCAACTGATTTGGCTTTCAAAATGTTATTTTCCAGTTTCGTAGTTATAGCCTCTCCACTGCAGTATTTTTAAAATGTTACTGAGAGTTTGTTGAAGCTTTTATACATTTCGGTATTTGCTGATCATGGATTTTCAATTCCCTCTCCAGGAATTCAGGAAAATTAACTCTGGTATTGAGAGTAAAGAAGCTGAAGCCGTGGACAAAGTGGAATCACTGAATAAGGAAGAATTCTTCAAAGATAAGAACTTTGAAATTGTCAGATAGATAGTAAAAATGGTGGCTGAACTATGTCTAAATTTGCTAAGAAATGATCGCAGACTGATTGTCTGGTAAGGATAAAAAAATGACTTAATTAGATGCTGGAAAATAGAAGGAAGTACCGTTTAATTTGCAAGGGAACACCACTCTTGGCTCAAGACATCATACACTAATTGTTTGGAACGGAGGAAAATATGCTTTTAAGTTAGAATCTGAGAAAAGGAACTGAGTACTTAAATTTGCAAGGGAACATCAGCTCTGGGCTCAACAAATCGTACACCATTTGTCTGGATAGGAGAAAAAAGTGCATTTTTAATTAGAATCTGGGAAATGGAACGAAGTACTTTAATTTCAAACTGTTTAACATCAGCCACCATTTGCCGATTCTTTTGCAGACATTGTTGCCAACTTTAACTGTTGATAATTTTGATTTAGTTCTTGCTTGGACCAAATTCTGAAAATAATTGTTTTGATCCAATATGATAAATTATTAAATTTCAAATATTTCTGAAATTTTTACAATTCGATTATTTAGCTTTTGGAAAAATGGGTTTTTCGATTGTTTAGCGTTGTTTTTTTCAAGATCTTTTCGTCATGTCTGCAAAACAGTCGGTGCTTCTACGTTGCTATTATTAATAACTTCGGTTGATGTTGCATCAACTGTACAAGGCTGCAGTTGACAAGAGAATATGGGATTTTTCGGTATAAATTTTTTGCCATCTTTTTCCGTTGGAACCCTGACTGACTAAACTAAACTGAACTAACGTAGGACGCGAAATAATCGATGATGTCAATGATCACTTCGCAGAACATCGTCTACAAACAAACTGACTAGTTCTTTGCTCAATGCATTGATAACAGTACAAACTACTTGCAGCGACTGACTCTGAAAAGCATGTTCACTAACTTGGANGCTCTTGGCTCGACGAATCGTACACCAATTGTCTGGATAGGATAAAAAAGTGCATTTTTAATTAGAATCTGGGAAATGGAACGAAGTACTTTAATTTCAAACTGTTTAAACATCAGCCACCATTTGCCGATTCTTTTGCAGACATTATTGCCAACTTTAATTGTTGATAATTTTGATTTAGTTCTTGCTTGGACCAAATTCTGAAAATAATTGTTTTGATCCAATTTGATAAATTATTAAATTTCAAATATTTCTGAAATTTTTACAATTTATTCGATTATTTAGGTTTTGGAAAAATGGTTTTTTCGATTGTTTAGCGTTGTTTTTTCAAGATCTTTTCGTCATGTCTGCAAAACAGTCGGTGCTTCTACGTTGCTATATTTAATAACTTCGGTTGATGTTGTATCAACTGCACAAGGCTGTAGTTGACAAGAGAATATGGGATTTTTCGGTATAAATTTTTTGCCATCTTTTTCCGTTGGAACCCTGACTGACTAAACTAAAGTAAACTAACGTAGGACGCGAAATAATCGATGATGTCAATGATCACTTCGCAGAACATCGTCTACCAACAAACTGACTAGTTCTTTTCTCAATGCATTGATAACAGTACAAACTACTTGCAGCGACTGACTCTGAAAAGCATGTTCACTAACTTGGAGCAATCACCGTAACGCTACAAACGAATTATTTGCGGCCTCAACTAAAACAACGAACGAACTGATATTTTTCTAACCATATACGAATGCCGAGGATGCGCTATACGAATCAAAACTGTCAATAACACATCACGCCATTACTGGTAACAAACATCACGCGACTCTTGATTACCTAACAGTCGACAAATACCACGATGAACGGTAACGAACAGTTGCAAACAACTTTTACTTGACTCCAGAACTTACAAAATATACAAACCACTTTATTACAGGGTTCAAACCATTTATTAATAAACAGATTTGTTTTTTGCCAGGCAAAAGACTTTTAATTCAGTTCCATTTTGGCTTGTTTTCGTTTGGTAAACGTTCGTGCGGAGATTGTTTATAGATGCCTATATTCTCTTGTCATATATTTGGTGCTTGTTATAAAACCCTTATTGCCT